CCCCCCAACGTGTGTGCTCTCCTCCTCCCGCTAGATGACCACCCCACCCACCCTTTCTCCTCACGCCTTCATGCTTCTCTCCAGTCTCTCTACACACAGAGATAATAAAAGCAACTAAGACGACACTTCCTTTTGCTTCACCGTCACATATATAGCATGCTTTGGCGTATTTCCACCCATCCCCCGGGGACTGAACCCAGGGCCTTCACACTGAGCTACAGCTCCTGCTTTATTTTGACACAGGGTCTTGCTAAGACATAAAGTTGCCCAGGCTGGGCTCAATCTCGCAATCTTCCTGCGTCGGCCCCCCAAAGTGCTAGAACTACAGGCAGCTACACTGCACTTGGCTGTTTTCATAGTTTCCATCTTCCTCTCTGCATGGATTAACTCTTCCACCCGTGAGGTCCCGTGCTTTTTACCTACGCAAGGGGCAGGGCTCCAACCACACCCTCACCTCTAATACCACTGCGAGCCCCGCCCTCCCAACTGCATAACTCCTGTCCTCCGCACAACACATGCTACAGTACAGCACATGCGAACAAAACAGAACCCAAACCCCCTTTTTATAGAGGCTCAAGCCTGCAATTCCAGTCTCTGGAGACTGAGGCAGGAAGACTGCAAATTCAAATCCTGACTGAGTAACTTAACAAGACCCTACTTCAAAATCAAAAATAAAAAGGGCTGGGGGTGTAACTCAGCATGAAGGCCCTGGATTCAATCCCAGTTCCCCCAACATACATACGCACTTCCTGATCTCATAGCCTCCACCCCTCCCCAAGCTATAGCTCCACCTGTCTGTAGCCCTTACAGGAAAACGTACCCTGTAAGAAAGATTTAATGGTCTCCAATTTTTCTGTTCCTTTTTTTTTTTGAGACAGGGTCTACTACGTACTTCAGGCTGGCCTTGAACTCATGGTGATCCTACTGTCTCGACCTCTCCAGTGCTGGAATTACAGACATACACCATCACACCTGGCTATTTATTTTGTTTCCATTCTCTTTCTCTTGTCATTTCTTTGACTAATTCTCTTATTTTGAAAAATTCTGATCCTACTGAAAAAGCAAGAACACGCACTTTATAGTCTTCATCTGAATCCCTCAGGTGTTTACAATAATTAACATTCGCCACCTTTGCTCAATTTCATCACTTCCACACATACCCGCACAGGCACACACCCTTTGGGGGAGACTGAAATCTACCAGAATGAGCTACAGACACTGTGATACTTTGCACCTGAAAACTTTTAATACCTAACTCTAGGAACAGAGACATAAACCAGTATACTACTGTATTATACCCAGGAAACTGTAACATGATTAGGTACCTTCATTTAATAGGCAGTCTATATTCAAATTTTCTTAATTGTCCCCAAATATTCTTTACGAATTTTTTTTCTTGATCTAAGATCCAATTAAAATTCATGCACGGGGGGTCAGGGATACAGCTCAGTGGCACAGCACCTGCATGACAAGCGTGAGGTCCTGAGTTCGATTCCCGGTGCAAAAAAAAAAAAATCCACACATTGCTCTTGGTTATGTCTCTTCAATACCCTTTTTGTCTGCCATGACACTGACATTTCTGGATGGTCCACATAGCTGTCATGTGTTCCATGTTTTGGGTTTGACTATTTCCCCATGGTTTGATTGGGGGTAAAAGTAACTGGGTGGCCAGTTATTACACAGGCAGTGTCGTAAACATCACATTCAGTGCACACCATGTTCGTTTTCCCATCGTGACGCTCCATTTGCTCAGCTGGTTAGGAGGCGGCATGCCAGATCTTGCCACTGCGAAGGTCCCTGATCCCTTCTGTAATTAAGTAATGTGTAAGATGTTCCTTCAGAGCTCAGGAATGCACTACTCCCAATGGGCTTCCACCTCATGGACTTGCCTGAATCAGTAAATTGGAGGACACAGAATACATGCCTTCACATTTGTCTGTTGGTCCTGTTCTTGAAGGACTTCTCTCTTCTACGATTTTTTGTTTATCACTATAGATTCATAGATTATATCTGTTCATAAAAACTCATTCTTTTTTATAACCAAACAACACTCCAATACTTCAATAATTTCTCATGGATAAGCATTTAAATTATTTCTTATACAGCACAGTCACTGATGACCAATGTATTGCCAAATTCTATGATCAGGTATCATCTGACTGGACCTCTCAAACCATTTGACCCAACTAGTTATTCCTGCCTTCCTAAAATAACTTTCTTCACTTGGCTTCCAGGAAATTCCCCTCTCTTTCTACCGCGACCTTCTCAGTCGTCTTCAGTAACCTCTAAGCGGAGAATATTCTGGGGCTGAGCCCTCGATCCTCTACTCTGCTGCACTCATTCACTAGGAGACCTTGTCTATGATAACAACTTTGCTCATGCAGCAAACGCCCTTAGTTTAGCAGAGCTCTCTCTCCGAACTTCGGCTAACTTTTCCACCTCTTGACATGTGATTTGTTATAAAAGATATGTCAAACTCAATGTGTCCAAAATGGAACCTTTAATCTTTTCTCCACGCCAGCTCCTTTCAGTCTTCCTATCTCTGTGAATTGCAACTCCATCCCTCTGGTGCTTAAGTCAAAAGTCCTGAAATAATCTTTGACTTCACTCTTTCTCTTACACCTCACACTCAAACCAACAAATCCTGTTAGTTCTACTTCAAACTACATACAGGATTTCATTCTTTCCCACCACGGTACTATGGGTACTATACGGCTGGATCTACTGTACACCTCCTGCTCTAGAGGAGCTCAGTAACCATCTTAACAAAGATTTGCTTTCCCAGGCTATTCTCACACAGTTCCTAGACAGACCTTTTACAATTGAAGGTAGAGCACGTTATTCTCACCATTTCTAGTGGCTTCTCTTTTTGCTTAGGATGAAAGCCAACCTTATAGTGGTCTACAAGGCCCTACAATAATGTGGGCTCCTCTCTCCTCTCAGCGCTGGTCTTCAGCTGCTGTCCTCATCGTACCTGTCCCTAGACATGCCAAGCACACTCGCACTGCAAGAGTGCGGCACCTACTGCTCCTCTGCCTAACGTGCCCTTCTCCCCACACAACCACAGGCTCTCCTGCATCCTCCCCTGGCTCCTCTGTTTCCAGTTGGGAAAACTTCACAGAAGAGGGAGGAGACGCAGGGATAGAAAACTTCTTACACAGCTCAACCAATTTCCTCTGCTTTCACTTCCAATATCCACAGCTCTGAGAAATGAGCAATATAAATTGGGCTAATTCTCAATTTTCCCTGTTGTTATTTCAGAATTAGGTTATTTTAGGTTTACTAGGTGTCATTCATCCCTCTGTCCTCAAACTTCCAAAAATGTATGGCTGTTTTTTCCCCTTTTATCCACTTACCTTGTGGGGTTACAAAGGGGGGAAAAACAAACCCCAAAACTTCTTACTATAGCTTTAATCAGGGTTTGACAAAGAACAAAATGTGGTGCATGTTTATTCTGGGGTTAATGTGGATGTTTTCAAGTCATTTCAATACACATACTATAGGGCTGGGGATGTGGCTTAGTGGTAGAGCTTTCATCTTGCATACACAAGGCCCTGGGTTTGATCTCCAGCACCAAAAAATATATATACATAAAATACTATAGTAGTATGTACCTACAATCCCAGGACTCTGTGAGGCTGAGGCAGGAGGACCAAAAGTCCAAGCACAGACTTGGAAACTTACCAAGACCTTGTCTCAAATAAAAAAATAAAAATAAAAAGGCTTGGGGATATAGCTAGACTGAAGGCCCTAGGTTCAATTCCTAGTACCACAAAATAAAAGACACCCACATACAAGGCACCTTTCAGAAGGGCAAAACATTTCACAATGAATAAAAAATGGAGCCAGGGGGTGCTGGGAATTTAGCTCAGTGGCACAATGCCTGCCTGGCAAGTGCAAGATCGTGAGCTCAATTCCTGGTACCGGAAAAAAAAAGGAAAAAACAAAAAACAAAATGGAGCCAGGAGTGGTGGGGCACACTTGCAACCCTACTGTAAGTTGGAGGTCTGGGCTACATTTCCAGGTCAGCCTGACTACAGAGGACTCCGTCTCAAAAATATTAATCCAACCCAAGCCAAAAGCAAAACAAAGTAAGAAGGTATGACAAATTTTTAAGATTTAAAAATCACGGGCCAGGGATATAGTGCCTGCCTGGCAAGCACAAGGTCCTGAGTTCAATTCCTGGTACAAAAAAAAAACCAAAGATTTAAAAATCACAATTATAAAAATAGTTCCAAATTTTTTATTGTTCTAAACTGTTTTCTCATACATTATTACTTCTGATGTAACTTTTTTTCTGTATTCAGAATTTAATTAAAAACAGATTACTATCATTGAACCTACTTGTACTATCTGATAATTACAATTTATCTGGTGTCATGAGACTAACTGTATTTCCAGAAAAGCAGACTCCTGCTTATCATTTTCTTAAATAAAAGGTGACCAAGCCAGACGTAGTGCATGCCTGTAATCTCCGCACTCAGGAAGGATGAAGCAGGAGGACTGCACATTTGATTCCTACCAGGGCAACTTAGTCAGACTCTGTCTCAAAATAAAAATAGAAAAAGGCTAGGATGTAGTTCAGTAGTAGAGTACCTATAGGTTTGCTAGGTTTTAAACAAGAAAGAAAGAAAGAAAGGCGGGGTGGGGATTTAGCTCAGCAGCACAGTGCCTGCCTGGCAAGTGCAAGGTCGTGAGTTCGATTCCCGGTACCAGGAAAAAAAAAAGAAAGAAAGAAAGAGGTAACCAAGACTACAGGAAGTCACTTTTAAAATGTGAAGTATTCAGAGTTAAACCTACAGAAAAAGAAATTAAACAATGGTCTTTATCACTCCCCTAGGCTTAAATTCTAATTTACTCTACATGCTTTCAAAGCATATCCTCTTACATCACCAGATAAAGCCAGTGTCAACTGCAGCAATAACATAACCATCACACACACATCATCGCTGTTTTTACAGCAACCGTGCACAAATGTAGCAGGCAGAAGCAAAACTCACCTGTCCAGGAAGATGTCTGGAAGTGGCGGATAGGTCTGCATGTCAGGCACCCGCTCATGGACTATAACCATAATGAACGAAGTAAACCCGAACACTATAAAAACGTACACACAGCTCAGTATGGTCTTCCAGTACTCTGGGTCCAGTCTTCGAACAGAATGCTTGCTTTTGCCATTCATGTACTGGTACTGATCGGCGCTCAGGTCAGTGAGAAGTCCATCGCAGTCATGGGAAGGTTCCCCATTGCACAGCCAGTCTGTACCCTGCAGAGCACTGATGCACGGACTCAGGGAGCTCATGGGACTGTCACTGTTGTAGCCCATCTCCTCTAAAACATCAATATGTATTTTCTGCAATTTTCGGACTGAGAGCATTAACCGTTTAATGTCCCCTAGGACTTTGATTTCCAAAGGAGGAGAGCGGAGATCATATTCAGTCAGCGTCAGTAGTGTGAGTCCATCAAGTCGGTGCTTGTTGCATAAGATATCCACATACTCAAAAAAGCCTTCATCTTTCAGCCACACAGCTACGTGCTTGGTAGTCCAGCGGCGAATGCAGAGTTGACTGGGACCTGCCATTTCTTCCTCCACTGCCTGTCAGAGGAAAACAGGAAAACAAAGCTTTCAGTGTGTCTTGACAACTTTTTGAAAACCAAATACTGTACACATGAACATATCAGAAACTGTAATCTATCTACATTGCCCTACTGGCTTCTACAGTCAAAAAAGTAAAAATTATTCAGTGGGTGCTTTTCAATAGATTAAGACTTTAACAATTTTATGCATATAACCCTGAACAGCAGAAGAAAGGCTAATGACCTAACATTTTACAGAAAACATACAAATGGTTATTCAATAGCAAACCGGCCACAACTCACTTAAAAAGATATGTCGTAGATAACAGAGTAAAATCTCACTTGTACTTTTCATAAAATGAAATCTATATAAGATTTGTTATGTGCAAAAAAATGAAATCCTCATTCATAAAGTGTGCCCCGTTAACTGGAAGTGTGGTGCACATCTGTAATCCCAGCACTCAGCAGGCAGAGGCAGGTGAATCACTGCAAGTCTGAGGCCAGCCTGGACTACACAGTGAACTCAAGGCCTGAACTACTGATCTTGAACTACATAGTGAGACCGTCACTGGCCTGAACTACATAATGAGACCATCTCAAAAAAAAAAGTATATGTCCCCACTTGAGGGGAAAAACACAAAAGTGAATAGCTAACTGTAATTCCTGGAAAACTTTTAGGTTAAGCATATTTCTGTCTACTATGTGGGAAATTATTTCTCTAATAGATACAGAGTCTTTTAGCTAGATATAAATTTTGGTCTTGGTAAGAGCTCAGTTCCTTCTATTGCTGGACTATCCCACTATAGAACTGAATACACCATTTCTGGGATTTTAGTGATACATTTGTTTAAACTATCATGTTGGGCTGTAGGTATAGAGTACTTGCCTGGATTCAATCCCCAGCATCACAGATTAATAATAATGATAATAATAATAATAATAACAAGAAAACTGTCATTTCAATGTACTCATAATTTTGATAAAACTTCACATTACAGTTATGAAAGGCCAATACTTTACTATATTTTTAAAGGAACTGATGATTTTTACTATGTTAATCTCATTCAGCTGTTTATATTCCTTTTCTTTCTTTCTTTCTTTTTTTTTTTTTTTTTTTTTTTTTTTTTTT